TTTTTTTTTTTTTCCCCCTTCTGGAAACATTTTTGATTGATCTTATTTTTTCCTCAGGATGAGGCTATTGCTAATTAGATGCTGTTAGGCAGCAGATGAAGTCTATAAGTGAAAAACATCCAAATTTGGTGGACACCCATGCTGTATTAAAAGGGAAGCAATTTTAAATCTGTGTCAACCAACCTGATGTTTCCATTTTGTTGGAGTAGAAACGACTGTTATCAAAACAGTTTTGGGAAGGACTAAAGGTCCAGGTTATTGGTAGAGTACTGCTTCACGCACATGAAACACTGGGTTCAATTTCTAGCACCAAAAAGTTATTTTTTACATTTTAATTTTTTAAATAATTGGATACATAAAAATTCTATAAATTCATCATTACAATGTATTTTGAAGTATGCATATGATGTGGGATGGCTAATACTATACCATTTCATTATTATTATTATTATTACTATTATTTTGTATTTGGTACAGGGTCTGACTATGAAGCTTGGACTTACAGTGACCCTCCTGTTTTCAGCCTCCCCAGCATAGGGATTATAGGTGTGCACCACCATGCCTGGTCTTGGTAGCTGGTGCTGAGTGTAGTTCCAGGGATTGAACCCCGGATACTATGCTTGCCTAAGCAGGTGCTTAGTCCACTGAGCTATCTCACTGGCCCTTTCCTTACTTTTTTGTAGTAAGAACATTTAATCTGTTCTCTTGGCATTTCTCAATAATACAATATATTGTTATTTACTGTACTCACCAAACAATATTTAATGCTAATTTATTTTATATTTAGGAAGTTGGGGATAAATGTGTTTTCCAATGAATGAAAAGATAAATATATACTAAATATGGAGCATAGCCAAATTTTAAGAATGGTCTGGACCAAGCTCATTCTGTGAAAACATCGCATTTTGATCTTAGGTTAGAAAAAGATGAAAAGGGGGCTGGGGATTTGGCTCAGCGGTAGAATGCTTGCCTAGCAAGCTGGAAGCCCTGGGTTTGGTCCTTGGCACCAAAAAAAAAAAAAAAAAAAAAAGAAAAAGAAAAAAGAAAAGAAAAAAAAATGAAGAGATGTTCTGTGCTTAGGTATCTATTGAGGAAATTAATTCAGACTGTTGAGAAGTTTTTCCACCTATTGCTTTTAACTATGGAATGGATGTTAGAATGTTACAGTTCGAGCACAAAGCTTAAGACCTGAAGGATTTAAATGATGGGAAGCTGTTGAGGTGCTTCGCTTTTTCTGTGATGGATATTTGAATTATCAGTCAGCACCAGTTCATCAGACCGCAAGCTGGCGTGAGTGCTCTTGTGTCCGGTGCTCATTCTGTGCAGTAACACATGCTTGTTTCTCCAGGTACTTCTTCCTGCCCTCTCTCCCACCATGACCATGGGCACAGTTCAGAGATGGGAGAAAAAAGTGGGTGAAAAGCTAAGTGAAGGAGACTTACTGGCGGAGATAGAGACTGACAAGGCCACTATAGGTGAGATTTCTTCAGCTCTTAATGGTTGAGGCACTGAGTGTTCCACTGAGGAAGAGGATTGCCGTGCTCTCCACTGAGTGAGTGATAACACGACAATTTTACAGTTTCTTAGGGTTGGTTTTTAGAGAAAAGACATTTTATGACAAAAATGTACACAATTGGATTGGTCAGTTCCATACTGTACTTAATGAATCAAGGATATGTCAATTTAGAGGTTATTCTTAGGCTGAAGTTTGCTTTTTACCTTTATTTTCATGTTCCTGAAAAGCTGTCGCAGAGCAGCTGTAGTGTAAAGGAAAGGAAGAAAGGGCAGAAATTAAACTCATGCCACCTCCACAGTAGACAAGTACCAAGGAACTCAAAATGACTTTGAAAGAAAACTGAAACCAAAGTTTCGATTGTCTTTGTATTTTGAGAATGCCGTACAATGTCTGTTTGGATATGTCACATTTCCATTTACCCCTTTTTTGATTTTTTATGCTTAGAAACAAACCCCACATAGGAATCAAGTATCCATTATATTTATTGATATTCATAGACACTGAATTTCTTGCCTCAACTCCATACTTTGCCACCAAAGGAAACCCTGGAAGGCAAACTTATTCCCAATGGCTTGTTTTTGTTATTATTATTAATTTATTTATTTTTGAAGTATTGAGGGTTGGATGTAGGGCCTTAGGATGAAGCTACATCCTCAGCCCTTTTTATTTATTTTGAGACAAGGTCGCCGTAAATCACTGGTTGGCCAGGCTGAGCTCAAGCTTGGGGTCCTCTGACCTCTACCTCTCAGCATGTGTTACCTTGGCTAACTTCTGACAGCTTCTTTTATATTTTTTTGGGCTTGTTTTTTTATTTTTGAGACAGCCTCTCACTGTGTAGTTCCGGCTGGCCTTGAACTCACTGTGTAGCCCACACTGGCATCAAGCTTGCAGCAGTCCTCCTGCCTTAGCCTTATGTGCTGGGCTCACAGGTGTGTATTATCATGCCTAGCTAGCTTTTCCTAATTTTCCTTTTGTAGCTTGTAAGTGAGGTTTTTGCAAGAAAAGCAGTAGCCTAATATAAATTTTCAATATCATACAAATCCCAGCAATACTATATTTCAGTATTTCCCATTGAAATAATTGTTATGATACCAATTATAACTTTTTTGAAAAGCTCCGAGTATCCTTTTGTGGCTGAAATTGCATATCACTGTGTAGCTTCATGGTTTTTAATTTGACATCACAGGGTTCTGATCTTTAGCAGTACAGCTGACGACACCTTGGAGTCCTATGACGTCACGGAGGCCAGCCTTTTTGAAACATTCTTGCTGTGTAATCCAGTCCAGCCTACATAGCCCATGCTGGCCTGAAACTTGTGATCCTCCTGCCTCAGCCTCCTAAGGGGGCCACCGCACTTGGCAGAGATGTTTTTAATAGCTTTCAGAGCTAACAACTATCTATAATCTCTCATAATTATATGTAACAGATACATATAGCCCAGTATCCATGAGTGTTGGTTCCCTCCCAAAAGTCTATACATGTTTTGTACAAGTTTTTTCAAATATTTTTAGCCTTCTGGATTTGGAAGGCAAATTATGCTCATATATTTTATAACATATACTGTTTCTAAATAGCTGAAAAATATTAATTCCTTTAAATCCATAACAGCCCCTGTACCCTGAGAGAAGTATAGTCATCCCATAGTTACTTCATAGGGAGTGGGGAATCGGTTCTAGGATGTCCCCTACCCCAATCTGCAGATGCTCAGGTCCCTTCTACAAAGTGGCAAAGCATGCGGCTATAACTACGTACACCTTCTTTCATGTATTTGTTTGTGTTGGTGCTGGGAATTAAACTCAGGCCCCTCTGTGAGCTAAATAAACTTCTTTGTCTAAGTTGCACCCCTAACCACTACCATATACCATGTATCATTTCTCTGGCCCTTAGGTTACTTGTAATGCAGCATAAATGTTACATAAATAGTTGTTATACTATATTGTTGAGGAAATAATGACAAGAAAAAAAAGTCTGTAGGTATTCAGCATAGGTGCAGCCCTCGTAGTCCTAATTACATAATACATGTCAGCAACAATGTAATATTTTTGAACTACAGTTGCTTGAATGGAAGGATTTGGAACCTGTGGATGGGGAGGGCTGAGTGTACACTAATCATCCCTATTCTTTCCCCTTGTACTGGGGATTGAAGCTAGGACCTTCTTAGTGCTGTGCTAAATCCCTGGTGCTTTTTAATTTTTTATTTTGAGATAAAGTTTGACTAACTTTGTGAGTTCCCCAGCCTGGGTTTGAACTTGCCATCTCCCAGGCTCAGCCTCCAGGAGTGCCGGCATTACAGTGTGTGCCACCACACCCAGCCACAGAGAGGCGAAATGGTTTGCAATAAGGCTACAGAGTCATTTGATGAAAGCCTTTTTCTTACCACTCTGCTGTGGGTGGGTACGGATAGTAGAGTCTTAAGTTCCATAATGTTTGTTCTTTTTGTTTAAGGTTTTGAAGTACAGGAAGAAGGTTATCTGGCAAAAATCCTGATTGCTGAAGGCACAAGAGACGTCCCCCTAGGAACCCCACTGTGTATTATTGTAGAGAAAGAAGCAGATATAGCTGCATTTGCTGATTATAGGCCGACTGAAGTAACTGATTTAAAGCCACAAGCACCACCACCTACCCCACCCCTGGTAGGTATGCTTCTGGAATGAAGAAAGCATTTCTCCAGTTCATTTCTAAATGAAAGGGATTTGATTAGGTGATATCTTAGGTTCCTTTCAGCTCTAAGGTCTGATGAATAAGGAAGAAGATAGTACATTGACATTTAGGAATCGTGGACTATATAGTGTTGCGTTGTACCATCCTTCCAGTGGTCAGTAGGTTGATCCTTGTGGTCATTTCACCTCTGCTCTCCTGTCCTGCTGAGAGCAGAGCTGAAGTAACGTGTTCTCTTTCTTCTTTGGGTGTAAGTATCCTCTTTATGGAAGTTAGAGTTTGTTCCCCCTTTTGTCTGCTTCACCCTATAACTCTATGATTCTCAGTCTTGTCTATATGTACACAGTATTCATATATTACAGTAGGATGAACATACATTTATAGTACGTTGAAACCTGGACGTGGCTTGCCTTGTTCTGCACAGCATTTAGTATATTTTGCACTGTACACTATCCACCTGTACTATAAACGTGTATTCACTTCAAGCATAGTTAACACTTGTATCGGAGCTGCTGCAGGTACTAGAGTCCTGTGAATTTAGACATTTCTATCACGGACAGCTTGATTTCTGACAGCCCTACAGTCATGGAGAGCTGACAAGCAGCAGAACTGGTTTATTTAGGACTCTTTTAACATAGAGCAGTATTGCATAATTTTGTGTTTTGGCATTAAGTTAAGTAAACCCAAAAACTCTGTTGGCAGTAAACTTAATGAGGATAAGAAAGTTGCAAGAGGCTGGGGAGACAGCTCAGTGGCATAAGCTCCTGCCTGGCAAGTGCTACGTCCCCAATTCAATCCCTGGTACCTCAGGAAAAAAAAAAATGAAAGAAACTTGCAAGATACTAAAGTGCAGAAAAGCTGTAAGGATCTTATGCGCTGATCAGCAGTATTAAAATCCCTACTTTGCCCTCATAGAGGAAGATGACTTTGTCTTTGATGTAGATTATTCTTTGTATTCATATAGCTCTATTACGTTGATTAAAGACAGGAAAAAGTGATTGTGCCCTATGGAGAAGAAAGTGAACATTACTTAATTAAAATAACTTTTAACTTCATGAAAATCTAAACTCTTAATCTTTCAGACCAGTCTACACAGTTATGAGTTAATTTGTAACTTTTTTCAAAAGGTGGCCACTGTACCTCCAACTCCCCAGCCTGTAAGCCCCACACCACCAGGCACTCCTGCTGCACCAGCTCCTCCGGCTGGACCTAGGGGAAGGGTGTTTGTTAGCCCTCTCGCAAAGAAGTTGGCTGCAGAGAAAGGGATTGATCTTACGCAAGTAAAAGGTAAGTCTCTTTGCATGGAAGTTGGATGAGATTTCAGTTTCAGTTGCTTATGTGACACAGTAAAGACTGGCGTGAACAGGCGAGGCATGGTAGGGAATGCCTCTGATCCCCGCACTCGGGGAGGCTGAGCGAGGAGGATCGCAAACTCAAGCAGCTGGGGAAGGACTGGCCAGATAGCTCAGCAGACTAAAGTGCCAGCCTAGGCAGAGCCCAGCGGCTGGGGTTCGATCCCTGGCCTGCCATGCTGGCCTCCCCCCACCCACCCCCGGGGCATGCTGAGAGGGCAGTTGAGACTGGGTGTGGTGGCACGAACCTGTAACCGCAGTGCATGTGAGGCTGAAAACAGGAGAATCACTACAAACCTAAGCTACGTAGTGAGACTATAGGAACTGTAGACCTATACTAAATACATTAAAAAAAAAAAAAAAAAGCTGGCAGTGTAGTTCAGTATAAAGGCCCTGGCTTTTCCTAGGTTCAATCTTTGGTACCACCAAAATAAAAGAAAAAAAGAAAAAGAACAGAATGGGACTATAGCTTAGTAGTGTGCTCTGGAGCTAGAATGCTTGGGTTAAACATCAGCTCTGTTTTATACTGTATGACCTTTTGGGTCTCAGTCTCTATTTGTGTACAAAAATAATACCTAATAAATTGTGAGGCATAGTGGTGCATGCCTGGAACCCAGTACTTGGGAGGCTGAGGCAGGAGGATTGCCGTGAGTTCAAGGTTAGCTTTTATTACTACAGAGTGAGACCCTGTCTCCAAAAAAAAAAAAAAGTGAGGATTAAATAAGTGAACAAAAATAGCCATCATGGTAATACTTTTATTATTATTATTATTATCATTATTAAAGAAGATAAGTGCAAAGACATAATCCTAGTGGTAAACAAGTGAGTGGCAGGGTAGGTATGTGTGCAATCATGGCTGCTTTTTAACTATTCTTTCTTAAGCCATGGCTGCTGTCAGCTGGGGGAGATGCTCCTGGTGAGGTGACGCGTGATCGGACGTGAAGGCGAGGAGTGGGTCAGTCATCAGCTCAGGGCAGGAAGAAAGTAGCTGCACATGGGCTGAGGCGGAGAGTTGGTCACGTCTGAGGAGCATAGTGGAGCAGCGAGCGATAGACGTGCAGTTGGGAAGCGATGAGAACGTCAAGGATCTTCCAGGGGATGAGGAGAACGGATACTTTATTTAAAGTCTAATAGGAAGCCATTGAAAGACTTAGGCAAGGAAGTGATTTGTGTGTGTGTGTGTGTGTGTGTGTGTGTGTGCACGTGTGTTTGTGTGTTACTGGGGATTATACCAGGGCCTTTACACTGAGCTACAGCCCAGCTTTTTTTATTTTTTAAGAAAGAGTCTCACTAAGTTGTCCAGGTAGATTCAACTTGTGATCCTCCTGCGCCAGCCTTCCGGAGTGCCGGCATTACAGGTGTGTACCACTGCATCCAGCTTAACGGTGTGCATCTTAAAAAGTTCATTTTCTCCAAGGAAAGAGATTAAATGGAAGCCAGGCTCCTGTTTAGGTTCTGTGGCTGGAACTCAAGTTGGTTTAGATAAAGGTGCTAAAAATAGAAATGGATAAAAAGAAATGGATACATTAGGATACATTTTTTACTTGAAATCAACAGACTGGTCAAGAATTAAATATGGGAACTTGACAGCAGTAATTTTATTTTATTTATTTATTTATTTATTTATTTATGTGTGGCCAGCTCAGCCCACCAGGGGGCGGGGCAGGCTGGCATGTGGTGCTGGGGGATTGAACCGCTGTCCCTGTGCTTTGCTCAGCTTAGCTTGTTCTAAGTAGGTGCTTTAGACCACTGAGCCATGCCACCAGCCTGACAGCAGTAATTTTAAAGGCGGGAATAGAGCCAAGTATGGTGGTGTTTACCTGTAAGCCCAGTATTCAGGAGGCTGAGGCAGGAGGAGCACTGAGTTTGAGACCATCCTGAGCTGTATGGTGAAATCCTGTTTTGAAAAAAGAGAAAATAAAATAAAACAAAACAAAACAAAACAAAACAAAACAGTGAGATGGAACCCAGTATAGGCAGGGAGAAAGCGAGTGAAGAAGTGAAGGTAGCACTGAAGAGGATCTGCTCTGAGGACCGCTCTAGAAGAAAAGGTGTGGTTTTAATGGGCTGTAGACTGGAAAGGGCTTTAGAAGGTGAATGATAATAATGTGCTGAGCTGTAAAAGGCCCACGTCAGCAGCTCAGCACAGTGGCCAGTTGTGCTGGTAGCCCACTGCTATTATGGCCTGCTGGACTCTGTTGGGTTATTTTGCAGAATTCAAGCACCTGCAATCTTTAGACTGGCATCAAGTATGAAAGACTTCTCCAAGTACAGCTTCTCTAACAGCAATGGAACGAACACCCATCTCTGACAAAAAACAAAAAAGGGGGATATAAATAAAAGACTGTTCTGTAGGGAAGAAAAAAAAAAAAAAAAAAATATATATATATATATATATATATGATAGGATAGGATAGATATACAGCTACTTTCTCTTAGTTCAATGAGAAGAAAGGTTTGTACTAATATTTAGATGAGATATCATGTCTGCATCTTATCCTCTGAATAACTGCTAAGAAGACAACAATATACAATGTATTAATTGCTATAACTGTCTTACTAACCTGTTTTGAAACTTTTATTATTTTATCTTTTTCTCATTAAAAAGAATAAAAAATTAAAGAGAAAAAAAGGTGAGTGACTGTAGAACAACTAGTATAGAGCTTGTCAGCTGTCACTGGTAACATTTTAGCCAGAAATTCCTTTTTTAAAAAAATTATTTATATATGTATATATATATATATATGCATTTTGTACAGGGTCTCGCTACGCAGCTTGGACTCATAGTGATCCTCCTGTTTTAAGATTCCCCAGGACTGGGATTACAGGCATGCACCATGCCTGGTTTCGGTGGCTGGCACAGCACAGGGCCAGCATGGCATGCAATACTGGGTATCAAATCTGGGTCCTTTCG